CTAATGAGACTCAAGCAAGAAATTGAAAAAAAAACTTACGAAATTGATCAATAGACCCATACACTGGACTTTGGTCACTCAAAAATTGAGTGGTTGAGAAGTTTTAATGCATACACCATATAGTCCTGATCTCAGATTTTCACCTTTTTCGGTCTCTTCAGAATTGTTTAGATTAACATCAAAAGAAGACTGTCAAAACTACTCGTCGCATTTTTTGATCAAAAGCTCCAAGATTTCTACATCAACGGGATTATGTCACTACCTACTAGATAGCAACAAGTTATCGAACAAAATGACACATATGTATTATAATATCTTCTATCTCTATATTGCTTACGGAGCTCGAATCGAGCAGTCGTGCCTATCAGCAATACAAGTGTTTAAATATTTTCAATAAAACTGTGACCTAGATAAGCCATTGGAAAATTTCTGTTGAGTTGTGATTTCACGAATAACAAATTATAATGAAAAACATTTGATATAAAACATGTCTAATAAATACGAAAATAGTCCTTTCAATCACAGCACCATTACATCTTGGAGGCCGCCCAGCACGCCTCAACCACCACACCAGGATGCTGTAGACCCCATCGAATTTTTAGCCACCAGTGAAATAAAAAATTGGATGACCTCAATCGAGCAGTGTCTAATTGAAGTTTGCCATATTGCTCAGGAAGGAAAACTGAACTCTGAACAAAAACTGAGAATCAATTCCCTATCGCGCAAGGTCGGTAATGCAGCCTCTCAGATGGCAGTTTACTACCAATCTTTGAAGCAAAAGGCTATTCTAATGCACACCTCCCTTGAAGCTCTGAGAGAAAAACAAGACCTAATGGAATGCCTAAATGATTTTAGAAAACCACTTAAGGAAACGATTCAAGAAAACTGTGCCAAACCATCTACAGAAAAAATTTCTTTTGCTGATATGGTCAAAACAACCAAAAATAATTACTTGCGCCCCAATATATTCAGTTCCATAGCAATTTACCCTGAGAATAAATTAAAAACAAGTGAAGACACAAAATCTCTTGTCCAGAAAATTATATGCCCCGAACAATTGAAACTATACGTAAGAGGACTACGAAAAACTAAAAATGGAGGCGTTATTATAAACACTGATTCAAAGGAGGACATTGAGAAGTTAAAAAAATCTACCCAGCTTAGTAGTTCCGGACTAAAGGTGAAAGAGCCCCATAAAAGAAGACCAAGGATTATAGTCTTAGGAATACCTACCACCCTTAGCGAACGAGAAGTCTTTGACTGCATTTTTGAACAAAATATAGCCGATAAGATCCCTAACTTAACGCAGGAATCTTTTTTTGTCCTCTATAAAACTAAGTCATAAATCGGGTAAAAAATAACACTTTCATGCAACTTTATTTTGGAAGTGCTAGCTGGCATCAGAAAGGCACTTATCAACCAGGAGCGAGTCTTCACAAAATTGGACGTCGTGCCCAGTTCGAGACTTCACACTTGTGACCAGGTGCTTCAAATGCCAACAGTATGGACACGCTGCAAGAACTTGCCGGCAAACAATCGACACGTGTGGACATTGTGGTGAATTAGGTCATCAAATGCTTGCATTAAGAAAACTGATCCAGCAAAGGTGACATAAAACAGGTGACCCCGAATGCCCGGCTAGGAAGATGGCTGAAAATAGGTATATTAATTCCATTGATTATAATGAGGGAGCCTAAGAGCGCCACCTTTTACCTTAATTCTTTTTGCCCTAATTTATAAGTTACTAAAGTTAAGTTTAGTTTATATATATTTTTAAATATTGTTATTATTTCTGTTGAATAATATGGATAAATTAAGTAATGAAATCGATGCGGTCAGTTTATCAGTGGCAAAAACATGTGAAATTGATATGTGCAAAGAATATCTCTTCAAACCTGCGAACTCTCTTACTATTTTAACACAGAACATTCGTAGTATAAATAAAAACATGAATAATTTCCATATCCTACTTCGAAGATTGGACACTGACTGCGACATCATCATACTAACAGAATGTTGGCTATCTAAAAGCCAAAGCAACCTCCCATTACTGCCAGGTTACAATACTTTTAGTAGTAAAAATGTATATAACCAAAATGACGGTGTAGTAGTCTTTGCGAAAAAAAATACGAACATATCAGTCGAGGAGCCTAATATGCTAGATTGTAGCAGGTTATTGGTGAAAGTGGGTCATGAAACTGCTATCCTTGCTGTTTACAGACCTTGTGGTTTTAAGCACATAGACAATTTTATCACGTCATTAGACATTACACTTGGGAAAATGTCGTCGTTCAAAAATATAGTGTTAACGGGTGATATGAATATTGATATTAACCCAGAAGGCAGTGAAGGCGGAGCAAAAGACTACGTTAATACATGTGCATGCCGGGGCCTGCTTCCAGCACATTTGCTCCCTACACATCGAAGTGGTTTTTGTTTAGACCACACTTTCTAAATACTAGGTTACCATCTATAACCCTTGTCACCAGTCCTATAGTAACCGATCACAGTGCCGTCATTCTTAACTTAAGCCTTAAAATATCGAAACCTAATTGTAAGTACTCTATTACCAAAATTAATATGAAACACCTTGAACAAGCAAATTGACTTTAGCCCAGTTTATAAAACCGATGACGTAAACATTTCTTTGCCTTACTTAATAAATAACATACGAAATGGCATTGCTAGCAATACTTCATATAGAACAGTAGCTAAAAAAAATTATAACTTAAAGCCTTGGATTACACCCGGCCTGATTAGGTGCATGAAACACAGGGACAAACTACACCTGATGGCAAAGTCCTCTTCAGATAATTCCGTTTTACAAATTTCATATAAAAGATATAGGAATTTTTGTAACAATTTATTAAAAAGTTGAAGTATAATTATCATACAAACTTACTAGAAGAGTCTGGTAGAGATAATAAAAAGATTTGGCGGCATGTAAAAGATATTGCATTTATTTCCAAACAGCATGAATCTTCGTCAGAATTACTACAAAATAATGCCTCGCCGCTTATATCAGCAAATACAGCAAATAATTACTTTGTAAACGTTCGTAAAAATCTGGCTGAGCAGATAACAAACAATTCTAACAATAATCGTGAATACAGGGCCACTTTCTTAACTCAAAAATACTGCCAATTAAGCTCATTCACATTATTAGATACGGACCCTAGTGAGTGGAAAGGATTATAATGGGACTGAAAGAAACAAGCGCTGTTGGATGGGATGGCATACCCATTAGTATATTAAAAAAATATAGACAAATTCTTGTCTCTCTGAAGGAATTTTCCCAGATTGTTTAAAAAAAGCAATTGTAGTTCCAGTATTCAAATCGGGGGACAAAAAAAACGTTTCCAATTATCGGCCTATCTCGATACTCTCATCCACGTCTAAAATATTAGAAAAATTAATTAACAACAGATTAATGAATTATTTACAAAGCAAATCCATATTATCGAATATGCAATATGGTTTCAGGCCTAAACTGTCCACTGCTGATGCTGTGCAGGAAATGACCGATTACGTCTCTCAAGAATTAGATAAAGGCAACCAATCAATTGGCATTTTCCTTGACCTTGCAAAAGCATTTGATACGGTTTCTATTCCTATCCTATTAAATAAGTTAGAGAGCATAGGTATTCGAGGTAAGCAGCTTCAACTTTTTGAGAATTATTTAGAAAATCGATATCAATGCATAAAAATCGATAAGGTTGTTAGCTCTGAACAAAAAAATACTCATTTTGGCGTGCCTCAAGGAAGTGTATTAGGGCCAACCCTATTTTTGATTTATATAAATGACCTTTGCAAACTTGAACTTAACTCAGGTAAAATAATATCTTACGCAGATGATACCGTGCTATTTTTTTCCGCTAATACAGTTGACAAGGTTTATTTATATGCTCAGCAAGGTTTTGATAGAGTTAATAAATGGCTCCAACAAAACATATTAACACTGAATACGGACAAAACCAAATATATTCATTTTTCTATGCGCAGCTCAACCCAGCATATAACCATTCCAGAAATTTATGCACATCAATGTTACTCAGTCACAGAGTCTAAATGTTACTGCCCAGTAATTTATAATACAAAAACTATTAAGTACCTTGGAATAATTATAGATTCTACGTTTACATTTAAAAACCACATAAACCACCTATGCAATAGAGTTCGTAAACTAATGTTTGTTTTTAAAAAAAATTCGTTCTTTTGCTGATATTAAGGTAATAAAACAAGTATATTACGCATTTTGTCAGTCAATACTCACCTATTGTATAACCTCTTGGGGTGGAACGCGCTCAAAGAGCTGTATTAAAAGTTGCAACATTCCACCCTATTATATTTTCATCCCATCTCTTAGACAAATCCTATAATGTCCTCTCAGTGCGCCAGTTATTCGTTGTGAGTACGTTACTAAAACAGCACTTAAAATTGCCCTACAGAAGAGAGGTCACTGATAAAAGACGCAAAGATATAGTAATTAAAACTAACAATAAATATTCCTCGGCCCTTTTTTGTATAATCAAGTCAATGCAATTTTGTACATATATCCATTAAATATGGCAGACTGTAAAAAGGTAATTCGAACATGGTTACAAAATTTGTCATACGATGATACGGAGAAGTTGCTGATTGTTTTAAGTTAATTAATATCATAAGGAAATCAATGATGATATATTTTACCCAAATAACCATTATTAGTTAGTACGTTATTCATTTTATATAAGAAACAGAAAATATTTGTTAATGTATCTTTTAGCACATACACCTGAGATACAGGTTTATCCTAGTTCAGATACCTGTTATTGTAGACTATTTTTAAGTTAAGACTTATTGGAATAATTTGTACAGTTTATCAAAATAAAATAAATTATTATTATAATTATTATTATTATAATAAAATGCAATTTAACTTAGAAAAACAGTCTTGAATTTGTATATAAAATACGCAGAAACTTTTTCCCCGATCTGATATATTATAATGTTTTCATCAGATGCAAACACATTGCTACATCACATAGTTACCGGTGCATGCGAGCGCATGTCATGAGGATGGCTGGACCCACTAAAAGCGAGTAAGTTAAGGATATATCTGTGTGATTCCCCTTAGTATTTTTCAACCTTTTATTAGATTAGGTAATTTGCTGATGAAGCTTTTCAAATTAGTAAATCGTATAGTAATAGCACAATTAATAGATTGGTTTGTAGCTCATAAACTTTGCAATGATGTTACTTAATCATATACTCAAAAATGAGGATACTCAAAAACGAACGAGGGTAAATGACTTAAAGGCAGTCTGAAAAATAGGTAAAGCATAATTATATAGGCTCCAGACGGAGAATAGCGTAAGCGTTCGAGGCTTTCACATCAAATCCCTCCATTAGTTAAGGAGTTACGCAACAGTTGCATGTTTATTACATAGTGGTATATTCATGAAAGTTTGGATCGCCCTTTTATGACACTCACAAATTAAAACATTTATAAACAGGATGAGATTCCAAAGCGAACTTAAAATATACGTTACGACGTATAAAATGGCGCTATGCCTGCTTCGCTTTAATTTAATATAAGTGGATTCATATTGGTCTCAGTTTTATTTACTTACCCTTTACCTGTCTCTTTGAATAATTTATAAACATTTCTACTGTTTAACTATTGTGTCCATACAACGGACAGGGAAACTGTTAAGCCAATAATAATATTTCCAATAAAGCATATTAACTTTTATTCATCTTATTATCTAGATTAGCCGTTTTCCGCGCGAAAGTGAAGAAACTGATTACCCCTGTTTTTGGTATGAATATTACTCCTAAAGGTAAATGACATATTATATATTATAAACATTACAAATCGTCATTTTGAATATGAAAAAGATAATTTACAGAGTTAAACGTTCCACAACTAAGCCTTCTCACATTTCTGAGAGGGTTTTAAAGCAAGGAGGGCAACCAGGGTGGTGCCGCTAAGAATGACGTAAAATATTTGATAAATTTCAAAAAAATAAATTGTAAAAGAATAACCTTTTTTAAATATTATTTTTATTTTATAATAATTTAAGGTATAAAATATAAACCACACTGCGGATATTACTAAAAAAGTTTAAACAATTTTCTGAATATTAGACCAAAGCACTAAGGTGTTGTTTTGTGTATTTATATACTCTAGAAACCGAAAACTTTTATTTAAAACGCAAATTCTCAATTATAATGACGTTGTGTTTCATATATATTTACCTTTACGTGATAGAGCAATGCGGCAGCTGTATTGTGGTTGCATCACGAATGGGTCGGCTCGACCGGGGTAGGACCATGCTCTCACAGAATATCAGCGTAAAACAGCAGCTTAATTGCTTTGATGCTGTGTTCCGTATGGTGAGTGTAGAGAACCGGAGATCGTTTTTACTGGAAATGAGGCATTCCATCTCAGTCCTCAGGGCTGACAACGCATCTGCATTTTGATTCTAAATTGAATATAAATGTAGATGTCTATGGGCCACACCATCCACTTACCATCCGGTGCACTGTGTGCTCGTTTGTCACCCTTATTCTATTTTTTTTAAACTCAGTCTAAACTAGCGACATCCGGAATGCGGAAGATTATTAGCCCTCATTAGTACGCCGCGCTGATGCGTTGGTGGAGTTTACATGTCCTCAAAGTATTTTATACCTCATACAAGGAGGTTGCCTAGAGATATTTGCCTTTACTGCCGAGCAAGTAGTAAATTCGAATTGAAATTGCAATCAACTATTTTATTGGTGCCGACTACCGGAGACGACCCGGGTTGCTTACGAACTATAAAATTTACGACCGGCTCTAGGCTATCACGGTAGTACAAGGAATGAAATATAAATAACCTCAATAGAAAAATGTATAACTTTGAAATACTGGGAACATATTTATAACATTACTAATTCACTCATTGCTTTAAAAGTTAGAGTATTATCTAACTTAATAACGCATGTTTAAGTGCTATTTTACAAACGGACGAAAAGCAAGTCTAATCTGAACACTGGTCGAAACCGCTATCTAAAAGCCGTCATATATCCTCACATACGGCATCAAGTAAAATAATATGATTTTTCATCTAATTTAAATTTTACAGGTAAAAATTACTTGACTTCAAAAATGTCTCGTGGATGTGGCAGCGAAAATCTTGATTCAAAAAGGTTGCAAACAGACTATGGAGGTCTCAGTTTAATGTAACCTTTTTTAATAAAAATTGAACATTTTTATGAACGTTATTTCTATTTGTATTTTCACAAAAGATTGCCAATAGTGATTCATCATCATCATCATTACAGCCATTCAAAAACCTTCTACTGAACATAGGCATCCCCCAAGGAATGCGCAAAGCACGTTCCTGGGTCACCTGCATCGACTAACTGCTTCTCTTACGAGGTCTGGGGGAAGCCGCCCTAAACTTAGCTTGCCGGTATGCGATTTGCCAATATCCTCAATAATTAATATAGTGATTAATTATACTGAAAGTAATTATTGTTTACTGTCTGGCCATGCAATCCATTGTCTGTCGTACAATCCATCACCCCACTTAGTCTCGTTGGTGCGGTACGGTGCGATTATAGGTAAAACTAAAAATACTTATTGGTTCCAATAGATGGCAGGCAAACACGAGGTCTGATGTGAAATACCCAAACTAATGACGGGAAGCATCATCTGAGGTTCGAAACATCTGGTAGTGTCACCAATTCACCTGTCAGACATAGCGATCATGCCAATGCCAATGCAATGAACCTGCGAGGCAAATCCAGCCAAACGGAAGAGACCTACGTCCAGTCGACTTATGGACTGATGAAAAAAGTCTTTCTATATCTACAATGACCATGCCAAGACCATTGCTGAATACAAGCCTTTCCAGTAATACGCCAACCTATATAAACCTATAACCTCAATGCGATGGCGGAAGTCACTTCCTGTTCTCGTTATATTAGATTGTTGTATTAGTCTTTACAGTAGGTACAAAAATAATAATTAAATGTAAACGGTAATTATGGTTGTGGTAACTTACAAGTTCCTAGATGAATTAGTTATTTTAAGAAAGCTTCCTACCGTCCAGTCATTTAAGTCCTATTTTGAGATTGCAGTAATGACGATTGATGAAAATTTTATTACCGTTACAATTGAACTACATTGTTCCATAATATTTACTACTTTCGTTCAGATCTTAACGCTAGTCCATCTTTTAACTTATTATGCGAAGCATTTGATTAAGATGTGATAATGCTAAGGACAGTATAAAACTTATTTAATAAATTAAAACAGGATAATTACAAACTCGAAGAACAACCTCAGCCCGGACCTCCCTCGATATTAGATGACGACATCGCTTTACTTTGTTGAAGACAATTCATAAGTACATAGGTCACCTTAACACTCAAGAATTAGAAAATATATGCTAGATGTTGATCAAACCTAACACCTTGTGTCTTGGTGCGTGAGGAATTACATGGAAATTAAGTTTTGGGTTCGGAATGAAAAAAGTTCTGTATGCAACTGTCCTCTCGCCGCAAAACTTTGGGTGGTTGTACAATCTAGTTACGGGTGACGAGTAGTGGGTCTTCTACCGTAACTACAAAACCTTATTTGAAACATACCTGCTCAAAAAAAGTTATATCACAGTTTAAGGATAGCTGTGGTTGGTTATGAGGTGGGATATTAAAGGAGTAATCATGTTTGAATAGCTGTCTTAAAATAAGATTATGATTGCGCAACAACGGTACACTAAACAGTTACACGATCTGAAATTATTACGCTTAAAGTTGCTCCCTCTCTCTCTTAACTACATGACAATAGAAAGAGACAGGGAGAGAGGATAGATCAATTAATACTTTAGGGTGTTACCACACCAGCCGATCGATACCATTGATCGACGGCGACCGATGTCGATCGATTGGTGTGAAAGCTTTAGCTGATCGACGAATACTGTAATTGAAGTTGTTTGTGACAAGTAGCACTCATTCACATGTTATTTGCTAATGACCTGCTTAGGAGTTATATTATACTTCAACCTTGTCAGTTTAGGTGGTAATATATCAAGAATCTGTTTTGGTGTCTAGATAAATATTATTGCGAAATTTGTGGCCGTTGTTATCTTTGTATGGTTTTCATTTTGTACACTTTCTTTTAGTGTTTTTAGTACTTGACGTTGTTTATCAAACAACTGTTTTAATAATCGTTTTGATACGGTTGCAAATAGTGATGTGGTATCAGTACAACGCCACTTGGTAAAGATAAAACTCACGTACAGCTTTATATTCACTTTTCTCTTGAAGACATGTACATTGTAATGCTTATTATAATATTTTGTATATGCATCACAGATTATTCATTTTGATTGTTATGCGAGGATAGATGTAGGTGTCTATGGGCCACAGCATCCACTTACCATCAGGTGGTCCGTGTGTTCGTTTGTAACCCTTATTCTGTAAAAAAAGACATAAACAATTTATTTTCTATTTATTTATTTAAACTTCGTTGCACAAAAATTTACAAAGGTAGACTTAACCTTATAACACTGATTCTAACTCTTTGCTATATGCATTACAAACTCGCCTTGTTGCTCTATGGCACAGCCCAATAAGTAGTTACGTACAAGTACGATGTTCGTCGACTCACGATCCTTAAAAAAAAAGTTTTGGCATGCTCTGATCACGAATCTGCGGTCCATTTTTGCGTAGGATGCACGGTTTCGGAGATGTGCAGATCAATTAACTCTTATCTACTTATCTATTGTTCATTGAATACCGTCATTATCTATTATTCGTCAGCGTGTGCGTCGTGCGTCGGCTCATCAGTGCTATTGTATTATACTCCTTTGTTCCTATCTACAACACTAATCTGAATCAACAATAAAACACATTACCTAATTTTGTTAAAATTTTTATTTATAAAATACAAAATCTTATTACTTATTATCTATAAAATAGGAGCGAAACATCTCATCCACTAAACTATCGTTGTACAATGTGTTCCCTGTAAATATAGTCGTAAAACTATGCATTGAACATCCCTGAAACTTATATAGCAAATACATTAAGCAATATTCGCCACAAACTGAAGTCCACTCATTCTGAATCATATCAACATTCCAGTTCCATCTTTTACAATTCCTTTTTAAAAACTCTAGATGATATCGTATATATAATATTTTGATTTATATGGACGAGCACCTGTAGCTCGTCCATATAAATCAAAATATTGACCGACGTCATTCGTATCGATATATAAAGCTACCCAATGTGACCCTGGTTTATCATCTGTACCCAAATTGCATATTACCTAGTCAGGTCATAAATTCTATCACATGTTTAATATAAAATAATTGAAACAAGTTTATTTATTATGTAACCATTTATATACCAAAATGAACTTAACAAAACATAGATTCTTATGACACTATAGTTTATTCAAAATGACCTCCGTGATTTTGAATACAGGCCTTCAATCTGCGCGGCCAGTCGTCTATCGCAGCACGAACGAGGTCCATGTCAATATCGGCGGCTGCCTTATTCAAGGATGTCTTGAGTGACTCCAAATTGGGATGAGGCTTTGAGCACGCCTTTTCCTCCAAGTTTTGCCATATCTTGTAATCTAACGGATTCAAATCTGGACTGGAGGAGGGCCAGTCTTCGTGCCGGATGAAGTCGATTTCACGCGCCGCCAGCCAGTCTTGTGTGCTCTTCGCTCTATGAGCTGACGCCGAATCTTGTTGGAATACCCAGTGCCTGTTATTGAACATGGTATGAGAAACAGGTTACACAAGGTTCGTCAGGACCGTACTTTGATAAACAACTGCATTAGTTTTTACACCTTTCTCACAAAAATGTACCTCTGTTAAGCCCCCAACTAAGTAAACTCCCAACCATACTATGAGCGAGGATGGAAAATGACCTCGTTGGACACGCGGAATACGGTTGCTCGCTTCTTCACTACTGTGTGCGTACACCTTATCATTTTGTTTGTTGTAGCTCTCTTCTACGGTAAAAAAATTTTCATCCGAAAAAAAGAATTTCCCGATATTTTTTCCCGCGTACCGCTTCAACAAAGCGCGGCATCTCTTCAGTCTCAGGTCCATTAGGCGAGCATTCAAACGATGTCCTGTTTTTCTTCGATATGCCCGAAGCCCTAAGTCTTCATTTAACACCCTTTTCACCGTGGTTCTGCTTAACCCCATCTGAAGGGCTAACAGTATCTGCTTACGTTTAGGATTTCTTTAAATTCGCGTCTTCACAGCTTTTATCACTGCTGTAGTCCTAACAGACCGAGGGTGACCACTTCTTGACCTTTCATCTACACTAGAGTCTTCATTGTATCGTTTGATGGTACGATAAACGAATCTTTTGGTTATATTCAAATTTTTCAGACGATGTCCTGTTTTTCTTCGATATGCCCGAAGCCCTAAGTCTTCATTTAACACCCTTTTCACCGTGGTTCTGCTTAACCCCATCTGAAGGGCTAACAGTATCTGCTTACGTTTAGGATTTCTTTAAATTCGCCTCTTCACAGCTTTTATCACTGCTGTAGTCCTAACAGACCGAGGGTGACCACTTCTTGACCTGTCATCTACACTAGAGTCTTCATTGTATCGTTTGATGGTACGGTAAACGAATCTTTTGGTTATATTCAAATTTTTCAGTATGTCAAAAATTTGAATTGGCGCGTAACCGCAACGATGCAACGCAATAACTGCAACATGGTCTTCTTTAAGCGTCCACTCCATATTTAAAAACGAGTAAAATTCTAAAAAGTATACAGTTTTATTTTCATGAACAATTCGAATTCAATAAACTTTTTTGTGGTCAGCATTCTAAAAGAAAAGTTTTTAATGTGTGACAATACTTATGACCTGACTAGGTATATACGTTGGTACGTTGGTGTACATGGGCAGTCTATTAGCAGCATAAACATTATTTTCTAGACTGGGGTGAATCTTTTTCAGATGTTGTTGTACATCTAGTGTATCCATGATATTACTGCTATTAGTAGATTATTACAGTACAATCTACTCAATGACTAACATAGGAATGATCAATTATAGTGATTTCTAAATATTAAATAGCATTATTTTGTGTTATACAAAACGTATTTGAGTCATCAATACACTGAACAAGACGCGACACGACCTAATGTTGAGATAAGCAACAAAATGTGAGATAAGCTTGTTGACGCATAAAGTTATTATCAAT